CCTCCCCCCTCCATGTTTGTAGAGTACCTCTTCTGTGCCAGGCACCATTCTAGGCTCTGAGGATGTTTACTGAACTTCTGGATAGATTTCCACAGGAGAGGAGAGGCATCTGCTTTCAAATCCACAAAATGAAGAGATGAAGCCATTGTTTGGGTGACCCATGGGAGGTGTCCCTCAGGGGGACAAGAGACTTCTTGGTGATGCTGAGACCCCAGGCCGTGGCATTCACAGACTTGTAGCCACACACTCTGGGGAGGCGGAAGAGATGAGCCATATTCCATCCCTGTGCCTCCCCCCCCCCCCTTTTGGGAGAATCTTTCTCCCAGAGGAACTTGTTTTGGCTTGACTTTGGTTGCCTTTCCCAAACCATTCATTTATCAAGTGCTTTCTGGGTGCCAGACACAATGCTAAGGGCTTACCCTGAATTATCTAATAGATGATAATCCGAACGGTCCCCACGAGACAGGAGTTGGGATGTCTAGTACTGTAGATGAGGAAACTGGGGCTCAGAGGTTCCCTGAGGAGGGAGCTGGAACCTGACCCACACTCTTAACCTCCACACCACACAGCATCCTCTGTCCTGATAAGCTCTTGCAAAACATTTTACAAATTAAGTTTTAATTATATCAGTATTACAGGAATATGTTCTCTTTATTAAAAAACTGTGGGAGCTTTTCTGTCCTCTTAATAAATCCTGCTTTAAAAAAAAAGGAAGAAAGAAAAGAAAGAAAGAAAGAAAGAAGGTCGTGCAGATCCTTTGCCCATTTTGAAATTGGGTTATTTGTTTTCTTTTTTTTTGAGTTGAAGTCTCACTCTTGTTACCCAGGCTGGAGTGCATTGGCATACTCACGGCCTGCGGGGATTAGGCGATCCTTCCACCTCACACCGGTAATCCCAGCACTTTGTGAGGCCAAGGTGGGAGGATTGTTTGAGCTCAGCCTGGGCAACATAGCAAGACATCATCTCTACAAAAGAAAAAAAAAAAAAAAAGCTGGGTGTGGTGGTGTGCCTGTAGTCCCCAACTACTTGAAAGGCTGAGGTAGAAGGACTGCCTGAGCCCAAGGGGTTGAAGCCATGGTGAACCATGATCATGCGACTGCACTCCAGCCTGGGTGACAGGGTGAGACCCAGACTCAAAAAACAAAAACAAAGACAAAAAAAGAAAAATTAAGACATTACAATTACAATGAAGGCTAAAACCCCCTGTGGTCCTTCCCATCTCAGTAGAGATGTCATAATAGAAAGCACAGTGTTCTAGTTGGGGTCTCCATTTAGACATTAAAAAATGTAGTTATATTTGTGTGCACCTGTGGAAAATATATAGTGCTATTTTGTGTAGGGATATTTTATTCCATTAAAAAAAAATACAACTGGGATCATTCTTCAACTTGTTTTCTACTCAGCAGTGTTTCTTTTCTTTCTTCCCTTTTAAGAAGGGATAAATATTTAATTAAATATCACTGCAAAGAAACCGCTAAGGCATTTTGTCTTTACAGAACTTTGGGAAGAAATGGCTGAGCAGAATATATATTTTAAAACAATAAAAAATGTATCTCTAAAGTGCAAAACTTTAAAAAGATACATAGGATATCCATAGAAACTATACCTCTTGATGTTTTTCATAATTTATTTATTTGACAAATAAAAGTTGTGTATACTTATCCTGTGAAACATGGTTTGAAATATGTTTACATTATGAAATGGTTAAATTGAGATAATTAACATATGCACTACCTCACCTTTTTTTGGTGGTGAAAACACTTAAAGTCTACTCTCACTTTTCAAGAATAAAGTACGTTGTTATTAACTGCAGTCTCCATGCCAGATGACGGATCTCATGAACTTATTCTCTCCTTTGACATGTTGTGCCCTTTGACCTGCATCTCATCAACACTCCCTACCCCCCCCAGGCCCTGTCACCACCATTCTGCTTTCTACTAGGAGTTCAAATCTTTTTAGAGTCCACATATAAATGAGAGCACACAGTGCTTGTCTTTCTGTGCCTGGCTTCTTTGACTTAGCGTAATGTCCTCCAGGCTCATCCATGTTGTTGTAGATGACTGGATTTCTCTCTTCAGGGCTGAATGGTGTTCAGTAAACATATCACGTTTTCTTTATCCATCCATCTGTTGATGGACACAGGGTGCTTCCACATCTGGATTGTTGTTAACACAGCTGCAGTGAACACAGAAGTGCAGATCTCTCTCTCTCGCTCTCTCTCTTTTTTTTTTTGAGGTGGAGTCTCACTCTGTCTCCCAGGCTGGAGTGCAGTGGCATGCTCACGGCCACCCCAGCACTGACCTGTTGTACTTTGGCAATCCTTCCAAGTAGCCGGAACTATAGGCGCATGCTACCACGCCCGGCTGATTTTTGATTTATTGTAGAGAAGAGGTCTCACCAAGTTGCCCAGGTTGGTCTCGAACCCACGGGCTCAGGCAGTCCATTCTCCTCGGCCTCCCAAAGTGTTGGGATTACAGGCTGAGTCACAGAGCCCGGCCCAGACCTCTCTTTGACATACTGGCCTCATTTCCTTTGGAAGTGGGATTGCTGGATCAATATGGGAATCCTATTTTTTTTTTTTGCAGAATATCCATACTGTTTTCCATAATGGCTATACTAATTTATAGTCCTACCAACAGTGTGCAAGGGTTCTCTGTTCTCCATATCTTCCCCAGCACTTATATTTTATCTTTTTGATAATAGAGGTGACATCTCATACCTGCTTGAATTTCTTTGATGATTAAGGATGAACATTTTTTATATGCCTGTAGGCTACTTAAATACCTTCTTCTGAAAAAGGTCTGTTCAGGCAATCTCCTCGGGTCCCCTCCACTGTGGGAGATTTTCTGTCCTCTTAAAAAATCCTGCTTTAAAAAAGAAAGAAAGAAAGAAAGAAAAAAGGTCGTTCAGATCCTTTGCCCATTTTGAAATAGGGTTATTTATTTTCTTTTTTTTTTAGTTGGAGTCTCACTCTTGTTGCCCAGGCTGGAGTGCAGTGGCACACTCGTGGCCTGCTGGGCTTAGGCGATCCTTCCACCTCAGCCTTCCAAGTAGCTGGAACCACAAATGCACACCACCATGCCCGGCTAGTTTTTTTTTGTGGTTATTTGTAGAGATGATAAGGTCTCACCAAGTTACCTAGGCTGGTCTCGAACCCCTGGGATCAGGCAATCCTCTTGCCTCGGCCTCCCAAAGTGCTGGGATTACAGGCTGAGCCACCACACCCAGCCAGGTTATTTATTTTCTTTAAAGAAATTAAAAAAAAAAAAAGAGATAAGGTCTCACTATGTTGCTCAGGCTAGTTTTGAACTCCTGGCTGCAAGAAATCTTCCCACCTCAGACTCTCAGAGTGCTGGGATTATATAGGCATGAGCCACTGTGCCTGGACTCATGTTACTTATTTTCTTACTATTGAGTTGTTAATTTTCCTATATATTTTAGATATTAACCACTTATCAGATACTCAGTTTGCAAATATTTTTTTTCCCATTCTTTAGGTTGTCTCTTTACTCTGTTGTTTTTTCCTTGACTGTCCAGAAGCTTTTTAGTTTGGTGTAATCCCATCTGCTTCTTTTTTACTTTTGTTGCTTGTGTTTTTGGGTCATGTCTGAAAAGTCATTGCCCAGACCAATGTCAAGGAGCTATTCCCCTATGTCTTCTTCAAGTAGTTTCATAGTTTCAGGTCTTGTATTTAAGTCTTTAACCCATTTTGAGTTGACTTTTTTTTTTTTTGGTGTGAGATGAAGGTCTAATTTAATTATTTCAAAAATTTAAAAATCAGATTTATTTATTTACTTACTGTGTTTTTGGAGACAGGGTCTTGCTCTCTTGCTCAGGCTGAAGTGCAGTGGCACGATCATGGCTTCCCATAGTCTTGAACTCCTGGGCTCAAGTGAGCTTCCTGCCTCAGCTTCTCGAGTCACTGGGACTACAGGTGCATGCCACCATGCCCAGCTAATTAAAAAAAATTTTTTTTGTAGAGACAGGGTCTCATGCCCAGGCTATTCTTGAACTCTCAGAATTTTAAAAATAAGAATTTCTTTTGCATTTAATTTACCCAGGTTTCCCAACACTATTTATTGAAGAGACTGTCCTTTCCTCATGGTATGACACTCTTACTGAAAATCGGTTGACCATAAATGCATGGATTTATTTCTGGGTTCTCTATTCTGTTCCATTGGTCTGTGTGTCTGCTTTTATGCCACTGACATGCTGTTTCAATTACTCTAGCTTTTTGAAGTAAGGCAGTGTGATATCACCAGCTTTGTTTTGCTCAAGATTGCTTTGGCTATTTGGGGGAGACATTTTGACCCTCTTGGCTATAAAGTTAGGGTCAAAATATATTTTTCCAAATGTTTTTATTCTTTCTGATAGAAGCTGATAAGACTGAGGAGTATAATCTGTTTGGAATTTTTCTGCCACTTGTTTCAAATGGATTAAGAAATGAAAGACTCATTTCCTTTTTGGAAAACAAAAAGTCATTGTTTCACTAGCGAGTCACTGAAGACAAGATTTAAGAATTTGGGGATCAAGTCTCAGAGTTCTAGACTGAGGGTTGGCAAACATTTTTTGTGAAGGACCAGAGAGTAAAGATTTTAGGCTTTGCAGGCCACATGGTCTCTGTCCCAACTACACAGCTCTGCTGTTATAGTGCAAAACCAGCCACAGACAACTAATACATGATTGAACAGTAGCTGTCTTGCAACAAAACTTTATTTACAAAAACAGCCGGTAGGTCAGATTTGGCCAACGCCTGAGCTAGACCCCCAGGATGCTTCCAAAGTCAAGTCCTAAAGGTGGGGAAGAGGGAAAGGATGGAGAAGCTAACTGTTGAGTCACTTGGCAATATTTCTTCTGAAACATAGATCCTTCTGGGTCTGTTTTGAAAATGCCCACATCACTGTTTTTACCTCTGTCTTGTACTCCATAGGAGGGCTGCACCCTGTTATTCATTCACTCCTCTAAGGATGGATAACAAGGTTGCTTCTCAACAGCGGGTCTTATATAACAGTTGTGTGGCTGCCAGGATTGTGGCACATCAAGTCCGTGTGGTCTCCCCCCCCAGGGCTAGGGGCAAGGTGAAGCACTGTCGCATCAACCGGGATGGCCGGCACTTTGTACTGGGCACGTCAGCCTATTTTGAGAGCCTGGTGGAGCTCGTCAGTTACTATGAGAAGCACGCGCTCTACCGAAAGATGAGACTGCGCTACCCCGTGACGCCTGAACTCCTGGAGCGCTACAATATGGTAAGTAGTTGATTCCCTTGGAATTTGGTGGGATCGCTTTTCTAAAGTTGTAATTCATCCACTCGTTCAGCTAGCCTTTACTGAGTACTACCGTGTGTTTGGTACTGCTGTTGGCCCTGGGGATACAAAATTGAGCACACGGGACAAAGACCCCACCCCTATGCTTCTTGCAGTCTAATGTTGGGGACACAGACAATAGCTTAGATTTAAAAATACACATAGCATGTGTCAGATGGTGATAAGTGCTAAGGAGAAAAAGCCAGGAAGGTGGATAAGTAGATGCAGAGTGATGGGGAGGAGCTGCAATTTTCAAAGGGTGGTCTAGGAAGATCTCACTGAGAGGGAGTGGGACATGCAGCTGTCTGGAGGAAGGAAGGGCAGCAAGTGCAAAGGTCCTGAGGTGGGAGCCGGTGTGACTGGAACTGAGAGAGTCTGGTGGGATAGAACCAAATAAAAAAGGGAACTCACTGGACTACTCACGTAGGGCTTGGAAGGCCATTGTAAGGCTTTTTCTCTGAGTCATTGGTGGGTTCATAGGGCAAGAGAGACCCGATGTGATTACTGTCTCAATTGCTACCACACAGATTCCTTAATTTATTGAAAAGAGATTTATTGTGCCCTGACCATGTGCCAGCACCTGTTCTAGATACTGGGGATACCGTGGAACAAAGTCTGCCTTTGGGGAACTTAGGTTCTAGAAAAGTGAGATAGTCGTACACACCTGAGATCTTTTCGGGTAGCATGGATGGTAACGAGGGAAATAAAACAGGATGGTGGAGTGAAAAGGGTTGAGTCCTACAGTGAGTTGAGGGGTGATCAGAGAAGACCACCTCAAGAGGGTGCAGATATGAGATGAAGCCTAGAAGAAAGGAGTGTCTAGACCAGGAGACATGAAGGGAGAGAGGTATCTGAATACAGGGAGCAGCTGTGCAAGCCCCGAGGTGACTTGGACAGAGAGGGAGCCAGTGGGTGGGAGCCCAGCCAGAGAGGACTGGAAGGGTGGGGGAGGATGGATGGTGGCCGTGGTGTGCTGGTAAATGTGTAAACAGCTCTCAGGAGGAAAGGCCCTGACAATTTCTGTGGTGTAAATACTTCCATGGTGGTCAGTTTCAAGCTACCAATGTGCTGTGGTTGAATGTGGAGTCTGGAAGAGGTGTAGGCAGCAAGCTGTGAGCTCACTCCAGCACACCTTGGCTCTTAGGATGTATGTTTTTACAAAGGAACACCGTGCCTGGTGTGTAGTAGGCCAGGATAGGGTGGTTCTCTGGATTTGGGGTAGCTTCCAAGCTTGGGAAACTTCTTTATAGATTCTTACTCCAAAACCTGTAGCTGTAAAGCTTATAGGTTCTTAACTTAGAGCCACAAGAAAATGCTGAGGTTTCAACTCTTCTTTCAAATAATAGGTCAACCAGGGAAGCCTAGACCCTTGTTTAGGTACAGGCTATTCCAGGAGCATGGATTTTCCCATTTCTTTCTTTTTCTTTTCAGGAGAGAGACATAAATTCCCTCTATGACGTCAGCAGAATGTATGTGGATCCGAGTGAAATCAACCCATCCATGGTACAGTGTGTCCTCCAATTCCCACGATTGCCTAGTCACCAGGTTGACGTGAATTTTACCGCACCATGCCCCCTTGCTCTTCATGGCAGTTATAACAGGGCAAAGAACATTCTGGAAAACCTGGTTAAATAAGAATTTTTTTAAATTTGAGATGAAATGATGATTGACAATTTGAAGTTTAGTTTCAGGGAAAAGGTTAATAGAATTCCATCCAAATGCAACTGTGCCTTGCTAAAATTCTGGGGTTTGATGAACCACCTTTGGGCCAAATGGCTTCTAATTAGAAGTCTTTCCAATGTTTTTTGCTCCCTGCCTGAGCCCGCAGTGTTTATAAATTCCATTTGGTTCGCTGACCTCCTTGCAGTGTGCAAACGCTATCTCCTCTTCCCACCCTGACTCCGTCGTGTAATTTCATGCAGGTAGGCATGGATTTTACTCTTAGCCCCTGGCGCCTTCTTGTTCTGGTTTCATTTCAAATTTAGTCTGAGCCGGTGAAGAAAGAAGAATGGTGGCGAATTTTCTGTTTGGGGGACTGTCTGGCACACGATTAGTGCATGTGACTCACCTGGGAAGGGGCCCTGCTTGTGGGCTCTGTTAGAACCCAGACATGAATTTTCTTTTTTTTTAAATTTATAATCCCTGGCCAATGCGGGTCTCTTTCGGCAAGAAATGAAGTCTTGAAAAGTTGTGGGCAATTTGAGCTGTGCGTGGAATGCATGAAGGGATCTTCGCTTGGAGTGAGAACTTTTATTAGAAGGGAAGGCTGTTTTGGTCATGAGAGTGGTCACCCCTCTCCCCTGGGGATGGATGGGTTTTACAGATTTAACTGGGGCCTCTTAACTAACTTCAAGCAGATGGAATGTCTTTCTCTTTGATGGGATGACATACTCGGGGTTTATTTTGAAGGGTGTGAGTCTTTTTCCCTTTGTCCTTTTAAATGTAATTTCATAAATCAGGGGCTGCGAACTCCATTATCCGTGAAGGTCGGGCAGATGACTGAGAAGAAATATTCCTCTCTCTCTTTTTATTTTTGTAAAGACAGGGTCTTGCTATGTTGCCCAGGCTGCTCTCGAACTCTTCAGCTCAAGCAATCCTCCCACCTCAGCCTCCCAGAGTGCTGAGATTACAGGCCTGAACCAACACACCTGGCCTCCACTCTCTCTTTATTCTGCCATGATAACGATAAAATAGCGCAAGTCTGGTGGTAAATGGCAGTTGGCATTTGGCTTTGTGTTAGCCAGATGGCAGAGGGTGATGGAGTCTGGGGTAAACTGAGGAACACATCCCCCCCACCCCCCCGCCAAGAGTAGCTACTCCTGAGTAGCAGTTGATTCTTGCCTTTCGAGAGGGCAGGCTAGGTCTTCTGATGTCTCAAGACAAGCCTAAAATCTGGATGGTTTATGTGAAATCTCCCAGTTTTTAAATCATGGCAATTAGGCAGTTTTAGAGAAAATCTTCCTACACTGTGTGAGTCTAGTAAAACATAACCATGTGTGGGTCTTCATCTAAGCTGCCATTCTATGATGAGGGCATCAGAGTATAATTTTTACTGTTGTAAAGATTGAAAAATGATGTAGCAGTTAAGAAAATCCACACTGATGAAAGGAGAAAGAATCAGCCCTCATTTCGCCATCTTCAGGTGGTAGCTCTCTGTGTTTTTGGTTGTTCCAGCCCCTGGTCTTTGCCTACCTGGAAACATTTTCCAATCACCACTGCCCATACCTGCTATTTTAATTGTACCTTGGTCACCAACTGCTTGGTCACGCTTGGTTTCCCCACTGCTAATCTTCTCAATGACCATTTTTGTCGAACCTGATAGGTCAGGTCATTTAGAAGAAATACACAGATTAGAACTTTAACTTCCGCCGGGCTCGGTGGCTCAGCCTGTAATCCCGCGCCTTTGGGAGGCTGAGGTGAGTGGATTGCCTGAGCCCGCGGGTTCGAGACCCGCTTGGGCAGCGAGACCTCATCTCTACAATAAATCAAAAAATCAGCTGGGCATGGTAGCGCATGCCTGTAATTCCGGCTACTCGGAAGGCTGAGGCGGAAGGATCGCCGGAGCCCAGCAGGCGAGGCAGTGGTGGTTGGGAGAGGCCACTGCACTCCAGTCTGGGAGACCGAGTGAGACTCCCAACTCAAAAAAAAAGAACTTTAACTTTCAACAGAAAAGTACAATGCTGGGTGACTGCCAGCTTAGTCGTTTCCCCATCAACAGCTGTTGGGGGTCGTTTCTCATTTTTGCTCTTGTAGTTAACACTAAAATGAACTTCTTTACACTTTCAGCATCTTTTACATTATTTCCTTCAGGAAAGTTCTTGGAGTTGGAATGACTAGATCAGTCGTTATAGGTAAAACATGTCCCTAACCACGTCAGGTGTTGTTTTGAGCTCTTGGCGATGGTTCACTTATTAATTCTCATAGTAGTCGCTACTTTCTGTGCCCATTTTACAGGTGAGGAAAGGGAGGTATGTGAAGGTTGAATCACTGCGGAGGTCACATAGCTAGTAAGATGTGGAGCTGGAATTTGGGCCCAGCAGTCTGGCTCTTAACCACTTGGCTGTGCTGCACATCTATTGGGTCATCTGGCAGGTGGCTTGTTCCCCTGTAGTTCACCTGTCACGGGGACCTCTCCTGCCATCTGTCAGCCTGGAGACTTTCTCCTTGTGGAAGCCATTTATGTCACGTCCCTCTGCCATGGGCTGTATCTGTGGCCTTGGGGACCGGGCTCTGGTCCTTACATCCTCCTTTGAAGCGGGATACACAGGTACACCCTGCTGTGTTTGCAGTTGGGGGAGAGAAGGGCAGGGACTTTGTTAGCCTCCAGCTGGGGATCTCTCTGGCAGAGCTTCTAGAACTCACACTGCTTCTTTTGGAACAGTGGAAACTGTGGCAATAACTCACTGTAATCGATCCAGTTCTGGACTTAGCCACCTGCCAGCTGGTTGGTGTTGGACAAGGTACTTCATCTCTGTACCTCAGTTTTCTCATCTGTAAAATGGACATAATCATGTGACTGCCTAACTGTTGGCATTGTTGTAAAGGTTAAAGTGAGATACTATAAGACTTAGAACAGTGCTTTGATGAGTCAGCACTTAAGAAATGTGAGCTGTTGTCAGTTGTGTCATTACATGCATTATTTCATTTAATAGTCTTAACGCCTGTAATCCCAGCACTTTGGGAGGCCAAGGCGAGTGGATTGCCTGAGCCCGAGGATTCAAGACTCACCTGGGCAACTTGGAAGACCTCATCTTTACAATAAATCAAAAATTAGCCAGGTGTGGTAGCGACCACCTGTAGTTCTGGCTACTTGGAAGGCTGAGGTGGAAGGATCGCTGGAGCCCAGCAGGTCGAGGCTGTGGTGGCCGGGAGTATGCCACTGCACTCTAGCCTCAGTGATGGAGTGAGACTCCAACTCAAAAAAAAATTGTCTTAACGACCCTGTGAAATATGTAAAAATTTAATTTCTATTTCACATGTGGGGTAATGGGGTCAGAGAGCCTCAAGCTTATATAGCTATTAAGGGGCAAAGTAATGTTTTGAACCTACATGTCTGACTCCATAGCCAGTGCTCCGAGGAGCAGGTTTACCGGATTCTTTGTGAATTATCTTTTCCAATTTCCTTTGGGTGGGAGGAGAGGGAACAAGCCTCTGATCTAAGCAGATTTGGCAATTTCAGAGGCTTTTCCATTAATGTTTTCTTGTTGTGTGGGTGTTCATTTTGTCATGGATTTACGCTTGCCAAGCAGGAGGCATTAAAGTAAATTTACTGAAGACGCATTTTATCCCAAGTAAGTTCTCTCTTCTTTTTTTCTTTTCTTTTTTTTTTTTTTTTTGAGTTGGAGTCTCACTCTGTTGCCCAGACTGGAGTGCAGTGGCCGCTCCCGGCCACCGCAGCCTCGACCTGCTGGGCTCTGGCGATCCTTCCGCCTCAGCCTTCCAAGTAGCTGGAATTACAGGCATGCACTACCACACCCGGCTGATTTTTTGATTTATTGTAGAGATTTCTCGCTGCCCAAGCGGGTCTCGAACCCGCGGGCTCAGGCAATCCAGTAAATTCTCTCTTACTTGCTTCTACCAACAGAGACCATGTGTAGATGAATTTCATGAAGGAGTACCTCAGTCACTCCTGCGAAATGCCAGTGTCCTGCAGGAGTCTAGTTAGAGGACCTTTGGCCTACATAGAAATAGTGGTAAGGCTCCCAGGACAGCCGAGAAATGGTGTTGCCCTTGAACTTCCAGGAGGATGGTTGAGCACAGATACTGAGGACTTCACGGGTGGCAGACGTGGCTTAATCTAAAAGGCATATCCTTTCTTTGTTGAGGAAATGGAGCAATGTCGGGTCACTCCCAGGTGCCCTTGGCTCTGATCAGGCCTGGCCCTGCACCTGCTCCCTGGTGACTTTGTGGAGGGGGTGCCTTGGCTCCTTTGCAATCCCAGACTCTTGCCAGCAGGTGGCGCTATAACCTTGGCCTGAAGCCCACTGTTCCCTAAGGAGAGCCCAATTTTTGGTGTGGGGGACACAGACCCTCCCACTCCTGTCGCCCAGTCTGACCTTTTCCTTCTTATTTTTCCTGAAAGCCTCAGAGAACCGTGAAAGCTCTGTATGACTACAAAGCCAAGAGAAGCGATGAGCTGACTTTCTGCCGTGGTGCCCTCATCCACAATGTCTCCAAGGAGCCCGGGGGCTGGTAAGGCTGAGTGGGGGCTGGGATGCTTGGCAGGAGACCCTGACTTGTCCTTGGTGACTCGACTCAGGTGCTGGCTGAGATGTGACCCTCTTCGGCCGTTCTGGCCTGGTTTTGACCTGTTGTGCTAAGTCCCTGGGAAAGTGGCTTGGTGCATGCTCTGTCTGGGAGAGTGGATGCACAACAGTGTTAACAGTAATCATTATATCATATATATCCTATTTCATATAATTATATATTGTATAATTACAATAGCAGCTACCATTTATTGAGGTCTTACTATGTGCCAGGCACTCTGTTTATTGCTTTCATGAACCGTCTACCCACATCTTCATTATAACCCTGTGGTTTTGGCTATGATTATACCTACTTTACAGATGTGGTGAGTGAGACTTTCCAAGGTCACACAGCTGCAAAATAGTGCAGGCTCTTCCCATGACGCAAGGCTGTGTGCTATTTTAAGTTCAAATTCTTATGCTATTGCTTAGTCCTGTGCTCTATACAATGACCACACCCTGAATTGAAGAGAATACATTTTTTAGGATAAAGGGACCTAGGTGTGCTAGGGCTGTTACCTCTTCCATTTTTTCACCTTGGAAGAAAAGTTCACTGTCCATCAACAGATCCCTGGGCAAGTAGTTTTGTGGGGTAGCTTTTACTGAGAGCTATAAGAATTTGCTTATAACCACGAGCACTGGCAGAGACTCAAGCACCTCACTGACTGGATTTCTCCCTCCCATAAAATGCTAGACCTGACTTAGAAATCTAAATAGCAGCGTGTATAGAGTACATTTGTGTGCCAAGCACTGTCTTAAGCACTTCATTGGAAAGAATTCATTTAATCCACATGATGACCATATAAAGTTGGTTGTATTGTTACCTGCATTTTATAGGTGAGGAAACGGAGGCACAGAGAAGTGTAGTATCTTATCCAGGGTCGCATAGCAGGCTGAGATTTGAACCCAGGCCTTCTGACTCCAGAACTCACACTCTTAACCTCTCTTATCTGCTAGATCCTTTCCTATCCTCCTCCAGGGGCTTCTAATCCAGAGATTTTCAAACTTTCTTTTTAAATGAGGGAACCTTGTTCCAAATCAATTTCTACCTGAATCCTCAGAATCAAAGATGAGTAACAGCAGAGTTATCTGTTGAAGCTGGAGTGGGGGCTTGGAGCTTGGCATCTGCTGTCCCCAGGAGCCCTGGCATTCTTCCTCGGAGGCTCCCAGACCGTTTGCCGACCACGGAGCTCCCCAATTCAGAGGCTTAACTTTGCCAAGGCCCCGCTACTCCAAGTGCCACAGTCAGAGCTGAGGTCTCTCCCAGGCCCGCGGGTGCTCCCTCATGGTGCTGCTGTCTCTGTCAACGTCAGTCCTGTTCTCACTGAGTGGGTCATCTACTCTTTTGGAATTGTGGGTGGAGACTAGATGATTACTCCAAGTCATAGTTTTCCATGATGAGTGCAACAACCCCGTGCCTTTCCACGTCTCTGATATGCAGTTCTCCAAAGTTCTTTTTTTTTTTGAGATAGGGTCTCTCTCTCTTTGTTACCCAGGCTGGAGTGTGGTGGCACAATCATGGCTCACCACAGCCTCAAATTCCTGGGTTCAAGTCCTCCTGCTGCCTCAGCCTCCTAAGTAGCTGGCTCACACCACCACACCTGGCTAATTTCTCTTTTTCTTTCTTTCTTTTTTCTTTTCTACTGGGCTCAGGCGATCCTTCCACCTCAGCCTTCCAAGTAGCCAGAACTACAGGCGCGCGCCACCATGCTCAACTAATTTTTTGATTTTTATTGTAGAGACAAGGTCTTGCCATGTTGCCTGGGCTGGTCTCGAACCCCTGGGCTCAGGCAATCCTCTCTTCTCCACCTCCCAAAGTGGCTGGGATTACAGGCGTGAGCCGCCGCATCTAGCATTTCTCCAAATTTCTAAGGCTCCTGTCTTGAGCTGAATTAAGAGACTGGTGGAAGTTCCTTTAGCAAAGGATTAGGTAAACCACCCAGCCACCATGGTTATTTTCCATTCATTCTCTGGTAACAATAGTGCCACCTAGTATGCCCCTTTTTTGCATCCTCCCAAACTGGTTTCTGCGTAGCTACGGTGATCAAATGATTTTTGTCTAAACCAAGATGCTTTTGATAGTGTGGGGCATGCTATTAATAATAATGAGAATTGAGAGCAAGAGATATTAACTGCTCAGTCCCGGACAGATGGTACACATGATCGTCCTAAATATGGCCTGAGGTGGGTCTGGAGCAAGGAAGGTGAGGGGGGCGTGAAGAGGGCTTATAACCTGTCGTCCCGTGTTCCCACTAGGAAAATGGAGCCGTCAGTCCTCCCTCTGCTTACTCAGGCCAAAAAAAACAGTTAAGGATTTCCCACCACCATGGAGTACAGACTTGATTTAAGATCAAGAAAGGTCTGTTATCACGGGGAAGACAGATGTGTAATTATAACGAGGTGTGGCTGCCTGAATGGCTGTGGGTGCAGGAGGCTGGGGGACCACAGAGGAGGAGTGCTCAGCCTAGGCAGCAGTCAGGGAAGACTCCCTGGAAGAGGAAATGCCCGAGCTATGTCTTAAGTGGTTAGTGGGAGAAAGCTGGATACAAAGGGCATGGCCCAAGACAGGGGAGCTAGGTAGCATGGTAGGGGCATGGTGGGGCTGATGGGCCATCTGGAATGGAGTTTGAGTCATGGAGAGTTAGGAGGTAAGGTGCAAGAGCCCAGCCCGTGCTAGGCTCGGGCTGTCAGGCTAAAGAGTCTGGGCTGGATTCTGAAGGTCCAGGGGAGCTGTCCTGTGGCATGGGCAGGGGTGCGCGTTAGAGAGCCCCAGGCTGCAGAAAGTAGCTCATGAGATGGCCAGCTTGGAAAGAGGAGACCCACGTGCCTGGGTGTGAACTTGGGGGAAAGAATCGTGGAGGTGCTCACAGTCTGGTGGGGTCAAGTCCCGTTTATAGTGCTGTTACAAAGGTAAAGGAGCTGTATTTTAGCTGAATATGAACAAGAATCAAAGCTACTGCATGCTAACTATGTACGAGGCAGGCGTTGTTCCAAGCTTTGGGCATCTATTAACGTAGTGGAACTGGAGTTTGAGTCTAGGCAGTCTGGCTCCAGAACCTTCTTCTAAATTCACAAGCCTCCTGACATGGGGTTGAGCTGTTGTCTTGTCTGGCCTCTGACTTCCGCTTAAAGCACTGAAACTTTTGACTTTTGGTGTCTTTGAGCAAACAATGAGGATCCTGGTAAGAGGAAGAAAGTGAGTCCCCCATGACTCATGGATGATGAGAACAAAAGCAGAAGTTCCCTTGGAGATGCTCCACTGTCACAGATAGTGACATCCCTGTCACTGGGCCACTGGCTGCCTTTTCCCCATCAGAATCGAGCCAGCAGCTGGGTGTGAGTGGGCAGTTGTGGGTTCTTCCTGCTGCCCAGGGGCGGGCCATGAGGCTCTCTGTTCTTATCCAGGTGGAAAGGAGACTATGGAACCAGGATCCAGCAGTACTTCCCCTCCAACTACGTGGAGGACATTTCCACAGTGGATGTCGAGGATCTGGAAAAGCAGGTGGGTCCTCCTATCGGTCCTATGGTCGTCTTATCATGGGGAAGGACCCACCGATCCTGTTTCTCAGGGAGCCTCGGAAGCCATCTCGGGGGTGAATCAGAAGGCTGCCTGGAAGAAGGGGCATGCGAGTCTTAAAAGTTAGAGTTTAACAGAAAGAGACTGGCAGAAGGGAGTTCCAGGTGGGAGGTATGTTCTAAGGGAGGTGTGGTGGTGGGAATGTGGTTGTGTTCCATATGCTCAGGGTGTGGCAGAGACATGGCTCCCTTGCTGTGTCTGTCCTTACCCGTATATCAGCATTCACCTGGTAGGGGAGAGAGGGGGTGGCACAGTCAATGGAACTCTTCTGAGACCAAGATATTGCCCATCTCAGTCGGCCCAGGATGGCTCCAGTGTGCCACAGGAGGTGGAGCTGGGAAAACCTTAAAAGCTAGGTCTGTAGAGCCACGGGCTTTGCTTCCCCAGGACACTTGGAGCCATAGAAAGCTCTTGAGCTGGGCTTTTGTAGACCAGATAGTCCCATCTCATCATAATGTCAGATCAAGGGGTTAGGATGTGTTTTGAAACCAGATCTGAGGATGCATTCTGCAGCCCGTTCTGGAATTCACGAGGCACGTTTCTCACGGATCGGAAAACGAGACACCGACCCTCCTGGCTCCTGGTACCACAAGGTCCCTACCAGCCCCATACCTCATTATTTAGCTCTCTCCCTGTGGACGGAGCCTGTAATGAAAATGCATTTTAAACAGTTCCACAGGCAGTGTCTCTGCTAAACGGTATGCTTCGGAAACTGGTTGTCTTTTTATTATTCCCGTTACAACTAATGTGAGTTATGTCTTGTTTCCTTACAGATTATTGAAGACAATCCCTTAGGGTCTCTTTGCAAAGGAATTTTGGACCTCAATACCTATAACGTGGGTACGTGCACACACCATCTTAGCCTGGATCGCCACCCCTACCCCCACAGCCTGCCCTCAGACCTGGCCCATACAGGGAGGCCGCCGACACCCAGGTTCTGAACGGCCTTGGACTCGGATGCTGGTCGAGGCTCAGTGCCAGGGTTGGGCTGGTCAGTGAATGCGATGCTGTTAATATCTGCTGAAGCATACATGCTAAAACAGAGTCTGGCATACGACACGTGCTAACTGGCGGTTAGCTGTTGTTAGGACCAAGGTCACTGTTAGGATTGCAGGGACCTGCCGGGGTTCCCAGGCTTTTGGAAGAAGTGCTGCACTATTGCTCAGACTGATGGGGCACGTGGAGTTGGGAGTCCTGAGTTCTAGGCCCACCTCTGGCACTCAGTCGTCATGCGATCCCGGGCTTGTCATGTCTCCTCTCTGAACCTCAACTTGAGAGCAGGAACCCTAGCCTGGCCCTGTGGGCATCTACTCCAGGGGATGCATGTGAAGGCATGCCCCCCCGCCCGAGGCTTGTCCCATGGCCACAGGGCTGTGGTTGGCACTGGGCTTCCTGGGCCTTGAGCGTGCTGGATTTTGAGTGGGCATACTGCAGCTGCCGTGTGGAAGGGTGCTCTGGGCAAAAGCCCCGGTAGTGTTCTCTGGGCAGCTCATGTGCCTGCGGCAGGTCTCACGATTCCTGCAGCCATCTACTTCCTTAGCCTGGACTCACCGCTCTGAGATCCTTCCTGTGGCATCCTGGGCGTGGTCCCCTATGCTTCAAGTGACAGCAGTCCCAGGAACCTCCGGCTTCTGTTGCCAGCCCTCTGATTTCTACTTATCACCTGCCTTTTCCCCCTTTACAGCCATCAGCAGGACAGGTAGGGAGGGGTGCTTTGCTACAGTGGTCAGATGAGAAAACCTAGCCCCTAAGTGACCACAGCCCCTGCTAAGGCCCCAGGGTGAGTTTACAGGCAAGCTGGGACTAGGGGACTCAGGACTCCTGCCTCCACTTCTGATTCTCTTTGTGTCATCTCCTCTCCTGTATTTACAGAATGGAGGTACATGGCTCAGTGGTTGTGGGTAGGGATCTTGGAGTCAGGTTCAATTTGAGCCTTGGCTTTGCCACTATTAGCTACTTTCTCTCAATGAGCCTGTTTTCTCTCCCATAAAATGAGCATGGCATGAGCAGTACCCCCACAGGGTTGTGGTAACAATGAAATAAGACACAATATGCACCTGTAGTCCCAGCTACTGGGGAGGCTGAGGTGAGAGGATCACTTGAGGCCAGGAGTTCGAGTTCAGCCTGGGCAACATGGCAAGACTCCATCTCTTAAGAAAACAAGACACAGTACATGTAATCTGTGTAAAATATTACCTGGCATCTAAGAGCTCAGAAATCTTAGCCACTAATATTATTTGTCAGATATTTTCCCCCTCTTAGAACCTTAACTTTCTTCTCTATGAAAGGCTTTCTCTGTGGAGGGAGAATCCACACCATTCTTTTCTCCTAGCTTCTGGAGACTGTGGCAATCCTTGATGTTCTTTGGCTTGTGGCTGTATCACAAGCCACTCCTGTCTAGAAAGTGGAAGTCTCTGCCTCTGTCTTCACGTGCCCTTGTCCGTGTCTCCAATCTCCCTCCCCTTTCTGTTATGAGGATATCCATTATTATCTTAAATCCAGGATGATCTCATCTCGAAACCCATAACGCAGTTATATCTGAGAAGACTTGATTTCTGAACAAGGGTCACATTCACGGGCACGAGTACTTGACGATCTTTTTGGAGGACACTCCTCAGCCCACTGCACACCTTGAGGAGTGATGTGTGAAGAGCCCAGGCACTGCTTGATGCACAGCAGATGTCCCTGTCAGTGCTAGCCTTTGACGATAGCAGGGGCGGTTTGGTTTGGTTCATGAGAGAAGCAGCTCAGGCAGCGTGCAGTCTTCTCTTTGTGGCCTTCTGGTAGGCTGATCAGGACTTTTCTTATTGTCTCCCAAAGTGAAAGCCCCACAGGGGAAAAACCAGAAGCCTTTTGTCTTCATCCTGGAGCCCAAGAAGCAGGGTGATCCTCCGGTAGAGTTCGCCACGGACAGGGTGGAGGAGCTCTTCGAGTGGTTTCAGAGCATCCGGGAGATCACCTGGAAAATTGACACCAAGGTAGGCTCTGCTCACCTGGGCACAGGTGTACCCGGCGTCCTCAGGGTCCTGGCATTCTGCTGAGGCTGCAGGTGGGTCCAGGCAGCAGGAGGAGCAGACCCAGGGGACACATAGAATTCAGGCACCTTTCCTTAGAGCTCGTGGAGGTCCCCCTGGGAGACTGGATTTGGTTCAAGCCTTCAGGAGGCTCAGTGTGTTCAGGATGCTTGGTGGTGTTCTTATCTGGTCCTCTGACGCTACATATCTTACCAAGGAAGCACTGCCTCCCTTACTTGGACTGTTTTCCCATATCTAAACATTGTGCAAAGCAATCTGGATCCTCCCTACAGCAGACATTCACTGAGCTTGCCTCCTTGGGCCCTGGGAACTCAACAGTCAATGAGACCCAGTTCTTTCTTATGCAGAAACTCTCTCTCTAGGTAGGAGTAGTAGATTTCCAGGGCTATCTTAACTGGAGTAGTAGATTTGACTGGAAGTATTTTGAGATGGTGTGGGCTTCTGGGTAATAATGGGAGGTCTGGAATTGGGCAGACTGGACTTTGCCTCCTGGACCCTGGGCAAGTAACTAAGACTTCTCTGGGCCTCTGTTACCTTGTCTACAGCGTGAGAAGCCACATACCTAACTCAAAAGTGTTTTGTCATCCCGTTGTCATTACACCAGGGTGATGTGAAAAGTGTTGCCACCTTGGATGATGGAGTCCTGTGCTATCTGTCCTTTCTTGTGGCTGCAGAACTGGAAAGAAATGTTATGACTTCCCATATACTCATTTGCTTCTAAACAAGTCTTGACCCAAGGGACTGATTTTAAAGCCTCCCTGGGACATCCTATGCCCTCTGACCTCTGGCTAGAGTTGATGAGGCTCTAAGGTACTTGGAGTGGTCACCCACCAGAGTGGTCACCTGGTTGTCCCTTTCCCTGGGCCAGTATCTGGTCACTAAGGGGCCCCTTGACTCACTTTTCAACTCCTCTGGAGGAAATCTGTTCTCTTTAGGAGACATTTTTTTGCTCTACTCCCGTGATAGATTGTTTTGAGGAGACTTTCTGCAGAGTGGCTGGTCATACGGGCACCCTTCCTGGTGAGGTCTATCATTTTTTCCCTGTCCCAGAATCTAGTCAGGGGGCTCTCAATATGGCTCCTTATTCTTCCCATGGCTTGTCACCATCACCAGTCACGTGGGACGAACCATGAGCTTGTTGCCAGTAAGGCTGTTCTCTGATGGGAACACCCACGTCCTCAGATGCAGTACCCCTCTGAAGTACAGGGAGCGTCACGGCCTTGAAGCTCATTTGAAAAAATGATTTCAGATGGAGCAACCTGGCACTTTCACATCTCTTAATGGAGGAAAATGTGACTTCCTTAGAGGGTTCTCTCTCCCTCGCCTCCCCCCCCCATCCCCACCGCCCCACCTTCCCTCCAGCTGCATGAAGGTTTCTGTAATGAAGCCTGGCTGTTCAAGTCCTTTGATATACGTTCCTCCTTAATTGGTTTTTATATTTGCTGAGATTTCATGAGAATGATTTGCAACATCTTATTGCATTGGAGGGCTAAAAATACAGGAGTCAGCAGAGTTGACTGAGTTCTCCTCTCTGGGCACAGCCACCCGTGTGAGGAGCAGGCGTCGGGACAAGGAAGAAGGCCCAGTCCTGTGTCTGCAAAGCCAGGAGGGGGTGAGCTCCCAGCTCATTGCCGGTGCTCCTGGCCAATGCTTGTGCCTATGCCCCTTGGAAGTCTGTATTTTTTTAATTTTTAAAATTTATTTTATTTTAAAGATGTGGGGTACAATTCAGGGTTAGGTATGTAAGTTGCCATTGTACAGGTAAAGTTGTGGGCCTCCCTTTGGTCCCCACCTTGCCTGGCTTAAGATCAGGTACCCCCATAAATGTTACATTCCTCCCCTCTCTCCTCTGACAGTTTTCGGCTACTGCCAATCCCTTTCTTAGAGTATTATGGTAAATGTTCAGGGTCCGCTTATGAGTGAGAACATGTGGTACTTAGTTGCTTGTTTCTGTGATAGATCACTGAGTATCATAGACTCTAAATCCATCCAAGTTGCTGCGAAGTCAATACTTTTGTTCCTCTTTATGGCTGCGTAATATTCCATTGTGTATTTGTGCATTTTTTAATCCAGTCTACTTTCGATGGGCAGCATGATTGGTTCCATGTTTTTGCTATTGTAAATAGTGCTGTAATAAACATGTGTGTGCAGGTATCTTTTCTGTAGAGTAATTTAAGTTCCTCCGGGTATATTCCCAGAATGGGGATTGCTGGATTTTATGGAAGGTCAATTTCTAGTTCTTTTAGGAATTGCCACACTGTTTTCCATAGAGGCTGAAGTAATTTGCATTCCCACCAGGAGTGTAGAAGCATTCCCTCTCTGGTCACCTCTGGTCACTGGGTGGAGTGGTCACAAGAAGATCTGCCTAGCTGGTGGCTTTCCAGAGCCTGCCCACTGAAGTGTCCTGACTTCATGTTCTGAGGTAGCCCAAAGGGTGACATCTGTGGGTCTGGAGAGTATTTGTCATGTAATTTTAAGGCAGCAACTGGCATTTCTTCTTAGACTGATTATCTCCTGCAGAGTGTAGAAAAGCATAAGTGAAGCCGTGTAATGTGTCATAGCTCTGTGCTTTATGAGTGAAGCCAGCATCACAGAATTCGACATAAAGGCAAGAGGTCCTGTCCGCCCTCATTTTGAGCAATTCTGTTGTGATTAGAGGTGAGCTGTGTTGTTTCTGGGGTTTCTTGCCTCCAGACAACCAACCTCCTGGTGAGAACTGTGCGCTAAGAGCACAAAGCCAAGTTGGTACTAGGACCAGGAGAAAATGCCCAAGGTTTGAAAAGAAACAGAGGCCGGGCATGGTGGCTTGGGCCTGTAATCCTAGCACTTTGGGAGGCCGAGGTGGGAGGATTGCCTGAGCCCAGGAGTTCGAGACCAGTCTGGGCAACATAGTGAGACCTTGTCTTGAACAAAAAATATAAAAATTAGCTGGGTGTGGTTGTGCATGCCTCTAGATCCAGCTACTCAGGGGGCCGAGGTGGAAAGATCGCTGAGCCCAAAAGATTGAGGCTGTGGTGAGCTGTGATCATGCCACTGCACTCCAGCAACAGAGTGAGACCTTGATTCAAAAAACAAAAAACAAAAAAAGAAAGAAAAAAACAAAGGAAATATGGCTTCAGTTTCCTCAATAGCACTCTGCTATTGACAGTCTGGCTGACATCTTCTTGCTCCATGCCCATTCCATATACATCAGTCCTTCTAGTCTGACTGCTGGAGCTTGCTTTGTTCCTGAGGAAGTTCAGGAAGGATGGAGAGGACTGGGGAAAACTGGGTGTGGGTCAGTGAGCTAGGGCCAATGTCAGAGGCTTAATGGCATGCTCAAAGCTGGTCCTGTTGCTAGAGCTCGCGTAAAAGGCCTGCTTGCTGGTCCTTGCCAAGGTCCACTTTGGCCCTAGGAATGGTGTTAGTGCTTGTGGGAGAAAGCATTCTTACAGAAGACATTGATGCTCACACCTGTTTGTTTACCAAGAGTGACTTTTCAGTCTTTGCTGAGGGACCCCTCAGGGTAGTCTGAGTTGCCACTCTTTACTATTTACCACATACCTGGTGGAGTGCTACAGCCTCATTATTTAATTCTTTTTTTTTTTGAGTTGGAGTCTCACTCTGTTGCCCAGACTGGAGTGCAGTGGCCGCTCCCGGCCACTGCAACCTCGACCTGCTGGGCTCCGGCGATCCTTCCACCTCAGCCTTCCAAGTAGCCGGAATCACAGGCACGTGCTACCATGCCCGGCTGATTTTTTAATTTATTGTAGAGATGAGGTCTTGCCAAGTTGCCCAGGTGGGTTTCGAACCCGTGGGCTCAGGCAATCCACTCACCTCAGCCTCCCAAAGCACAGGATTACAGGCTGAGCCACCGAACCCGGCTTATTTAATTCTTATAATAGCTATGTGAGATGCTTGTTCATAGTAGCCTCCTTTTACAGTTGAGGAAACTGAGGCACAGTGAGATTATATGACTTGTCCAGTTGACACAACAAATAAACAACAGGGTCAGGTTTTGAACTCATGTCTCTGATTCTAGTTCTCACTGTCTTAACCACTGTGTTCAGCTGCCTCTGTCACCAACTCACCACCAATCGCTGGGACACTTGCTACTCACAAGGCCGTGCTGTCAAGGGCCATATCTCTGGAGGGAAGCAAGTCTGAGCACTAGTATAGAATGGCATTCATGTAGGACAGTCAGATGAGAGCCGGTGCAAGGCAGGTCAGATGAGGCAGTGAGTGATCTTAGAAGGCTACGGAAGGCAGTATTCCTTCCCAATCATGGCTGGAGGGGGCAGATATAGGCAGGAAGGCGAGGAGTCAGAAGGTCATTGCTGTGGTTCAGAGGGACCAAGGATGTGGACTCTGGGACCAGATGCAGGACACATTTTATTTATTTATTTATTTTATTTTACTTTTTATTTTTTTGAGTTGGAGTCTCGTTCTGTCGCCCAGACTGGAGTGCAGTGGCCGCTCCTGGCCACCGCAGCCTTGACCTGCTGGGCTCCGGCGATCCTTCCGCCTCAGCCTTCCAAGTAGCCGGAATTATAGGCACGTGCTACCACGCCCGGCTGATTTTTTGATTTATTGTTGAGATGAGGTCTCGCCAAGTTGCCCAGGTGGGTCTCGAACCCGTGGGCTCAGGCAATTCACTCACCTCAGCCTCCCAAGGCACGGGATTACAGGCTGAGCCACCGAGCCCGACACATTTTAGTGACATCTTCTCCAGGACCTGATGACAGCTGGTGTGTGAGGGCATGAAGCAGAGCTGTAACATGGGACAGGCAGGTTAGAAGCAGGGACCTTGGGTCAGGTCAGTGGTTTTAAACATCTGGTTCTGTCATTGACTGACTGTGTAGCCTGAGATATGCTACTTAACTTCTCTGTGTTAAATGGAGACAATTCTGCCTCTCAGGAGATGTGTGGAACTAACTTAGATAATATCCGTCAGTGCAGTGGGAAGCTAAGCACCCTCTAAGGAGTGCTATCAGGGACTGGTTCTGTGGAAAACAATTTTTTCAAGGACCAGGGTGGTGGGGGGTGGTTTTGAGATGATTCAAGTGCATTACATTTATTGTGTACTTTATTTCTATTATTATTGCATTGTATACATAATTAAATAATTATCACTATCATGGAAGTATAAAATTATTATTTTGATATGAGTTTGCAAGAAATTGATTTATGATGGTCTCTGTGCAGCCAAACCTCACTACTCATGTGAATCTGTATTTGCAGCCACTCCCCAGCACTAGCATCACCACCTCAGCTCCACCTCAGATCATCAGGCATTCAATTCTCATAAGGAGCATGCAACCTAGATCTCGTGCATGTACAGTTCACAAGAGGGTTCACGCTCCTCTGAGAATCTAATGCCACTGTTGATCTGACAGGAAGCAGAGCTCAGGTGGTAACATGAGTGATGGGGCGTGGCTGTGAATACAGATGATGCTCTGCTCCGTCACCTGCCACTCACCTCTGCTGTATGACCCTGTTCCTAACAGGCTATGGACGAGTACCGGTCTATGGCCTGGGGTTGAGGACCCCTGATCTAAATATTCTCTTAAGGGTCCCCCTTGACCAATAAGAGACTGACATCTTCTTTACCTCATGCTCAGTCAGAATCTGGGGAGGGCTGAGGGGGTGCCTGGTTTGGGGTGAAGTGGAAAGCTCATCCTTACTCGGATGGAGTTAGGTTTGACAGCGGGTCCTCTGAAGGGAAGTGCCTCACAAGAGGGATCCCTTTGGACAGAGCTGTGACAGGCAGTCAGAGGCAGGAAGGAGGTTTGTATGGTTTAGGAGTACAAGGTATTGGGAGTAGTGACAAGGAGGCCATGGTCCACAGTGCTCATGAGGAGTTGGAGAGCTAGAATTTGAGAAACGACAACAGTGTGGTTTCAGCGGACAGGGCAGGATGGGAGGCAAAGAGCAGAGGGGTTAAGGAGAAGGGCTGGTGACAGAGAAGAGGCCTCTCCCTCTGCCATCCCGACCTCCATCTGTAATGGGAGCTGTGACCAGGACTGACCTAGACACCCAACCCAGGTGGAAACAGGAAGAGGAAGGAAAGAGAGGAGGGGCAGGGCATCTTCAGGAAAGGAAAACATTCATCTGTGATACAGGTCTCAGCATACATAAGGGCCAAGTGGAGATGGAGGAGGAGAATGCCGGGTGAACTGGGAGGGTGGAATTTCTCAGGGTCCACCCTGAAGGTGGAAACTAAAGATGGCTGACTCCAAACAGGAGAATAACATGAAATACTGGGAGAAGAACCAGTCGATCGCCATTGAGCTCTCTGACCTGGTCGTCTACTGCAAACCAACCAGCAAGACCAAGGACAACTTAGGTAACATCTTCTCCATTGCTGCCCCATAACTGCAGTGAAAGTGACTTCCTTTTCAGTCTGTTATGGTCAGAGAGGAAAGGGTGGGGGTGCTCCTGTGAAGTGCTCCAGGTGGTGCCTCACTTTGACTTTGCCTTCAGGGTGAGGGAGCTGGCAGACGGGGCCCTTTTGGGAAACCCACTCAGAGGGCGAATTCATTTTCTATTGCTATCTCCACAAACTTGGTGGCTGGACACATCATGTGTTTATTCTCACATGTGCTGGAGGCCAGGGTCTGAAATCAGTGCCACTGGGCCAAAATCAAGGTGTCAGCTGTGCCCTCTCCAGAGGCTCCAGGGAAGGAGCCATTCCTTGCTTCTTTCAGCTTCTGGTGGCTGCTGGCATTCCTTGGCTTGTGGCTGCACCATTCCAATCTCTGTCTCTGTGGTCAGGTGGTCTTCTCCTTTTCCACCTCCCCTTTACAAGGACCCTTGTGGTGGCATTAGGTCCACCGGGATAATCCAGAATAATCTCCCCATTTCAAACTCCTTAATTTAATCATGTCTGTCATATAAAGTCACATATTCACAGGTTCCAGGGATTAGGACCTGGGTGTTTTTGGAGACCATTATTCAGCCTCTCACAGGCCCATTAAAAAATGGTTCTTCTACCAGATTCTCCAAAGTAGTAAGTTCTCTGATGATGCTGGTCATGCTTTATTTCTCTTTGGGCCCTTTCAGCAACTCCATAGCTTTCATCTCAATTTGTGATTCCAGGGCCAGAGAAATAGTACCAAATCCCAGTTTACTTTTACTGGGAGGCAGGCCCCTGGCACCTTCAGTTTCAGGAACAGATGTGGAAGCTCCAGACTCAGAGGCTACATGGGTGTTCCACCACCATCAGGTGTGAAGGAGCAAAGCTTCACCCATGCAAAACTGAGGCCTGTCCCATTCCTGCCCTCCCATTCTTTCTCCTTACCCACCTGGGTGCCCCCTCCCATCATGTCCCTTCCCAGGGCAGCAGCAGTGAATTCTCACTTCAAAAAGATGCTGAGTTCCTTCATCCTGCATCTTTTTGATGAGGAGGCTGGATCTCTTTTTGCATCTTCCGTTCCTAAGACCTCTTCCTTCCTGCTTCTACCTAAAACCATCCCCACCTTCCCACTTCTGTAACTGCACCTCTTTTGGGTTTTCTTGTTCAAGGCTGTTGGTCATTTTAAACAAACAAACAAAAACTACAATAATCATAGACTATAAGGCTGTGGGAAAATGAGGCCCCCTTTTAATGTGTAAGACCCTCCCCCCTTTTACTACCTGGAATTCCTGAAGGGCAAGAATCTATAGTGGTCCCAATTATGGCGATATCACACAACCCCTCGAATGTCTTGTCAGAGGGAGAGATTCCAGGTTTCCTCTTACAACCGGAGCGTCCAGACATTGCACCAAGCATTAAGAAAATGCACAGATGAGACCCAATACATGGTGACCCTTTTCTCTGTGTGCGCAGAAAATCCTGACTTCCGAGAAATCCGCTCCTTCGTGGAGACAAAAGCTGACAGCATTGTCAGACAGAAGCCCATGGACCTATTGAAGTACAATCAAAAGGGCCTGACCCGAGTCTACCCGAAGGGACAAAGAGTTGACTCTTCAAACTATGACCCCTTCCGCCTCTGGCTGTGTGGCTCCCAGATGGTGGCGCTCAACTTCCAGACTGCAGGTAAAGGAGGGTAAAGGTAGCCATGTATCATTCCACACAAAGTCAGCTCAGGTGACTGGTGTGTCATGGTGTCTGGGAATGAGTGATACATCTCAGGGACTGCCATGGTTCAGCAGAACGCTAGCTAGTGTGAGTCCCGTCAACTGAACGGAGTGACTGCAGGGACTGAAGGGTGCTTGGATCAGGCAGGCTCCGTGATTGCAGGTGGCAGAGGCTGAATCAGTCTGGCCCAAGAGAAAAAGGAAAAACGCGTTAGCACATGTAATTAAAAATCCCAGGAGTAGCCGGGTGCAGTGGCTCACTCCTGTAATCTCAGCACTTTGGGAGGCAGAGGCAAGAGGACTGCCTGAACCCAGGGGTTTGAAACCAACCTGGGCAAGTGCAATAAATAAAAAAATTAACTGGATGTGGTGGCACATGCCTGTAGTGCCAACTTCTTGGAAGGCTGAGGCAGAAAGATCGCCTGAGCCCAGGAGGTTGAGTGTGCCACTGCACTCCAGCCTGGGCAACAGTCAGATTCTGACTCAAAAAAAAAAAAAAAGCCCAGGAGTTGATCTTATCTTCAGATGCCACACAGGTCCCGGGTGGCATCTTCAGGGATTTCTTCTCTCGACTCGCCCACCCCTCTTTGAGGGCTTCATGCTCAAATTCTCTTCCAGAGACATTCACATGCTGGGGAACAAAACCCGTATACAAACTTTTGAACACAGAAAGAGTAGCATAAAGCACAGTGCTCTGCACTTCCGTTGTTATTTAAGGCCTCTTTTGGGGTCAATTCATCAGTAGCTTCCTTTCAGCTCTTTTTCTAGTCACATAGGATTCCAGGGAATGGAACCATCATTGGTTTAAAAAGTCTTCATGGAGGCACGTGCGGGTTATTCCCCATCATTCACTGTCACAGATAGCACCGTCTTCTGTGCCCTTACGTGGGCGTCATTTCACAGGCGTCAGATGTATCTTTGGGACAGAATTGTCAGAAGAGCAGGCTGGGTCAAGCAGCACTAGCATTTACATTTTGATAGACTGCCCTGAGAAAAACCACCGAGCCACCTGTTTCCAGTTGTGCCAGAGCTAAGACCCTTTGCCAAAGAGATTGTGGGTGGGAATGCAAACAGGTGGAAGTTTGAAGATGCTCTTTTTGGCATAACTTCAACTGTCTCATTGGGCACCCCTTGTCCGTGGGATAGGTAAAAATTGATATTCTATTGTGGTCACTTAGAGCTTCTCTTAGTATCTCTCTTATGAGCGACATTAGCCAGTTTTTCACTTATTTAGGGAGCATTTGCCTTTTGTGTGAATTATTCATGCTTCTTACCCAATTTATCTACTGCAGTAGGTATTTATAGCATATATTTGTCAGAACTAAGAGGCTAAAAAAATTTATATGTATATGATTGTCAATTGAGTTAAAATTAATTATTTTTAAACTTTTTTGAAGGGATGAAGTCTTGCTATGCTGCCCAGGCTGGTCTCAAACTCCTGGGCTCAAGCAGTCCTCCCACCTTGGCCTCCCAAAGTGCTGGGATTATAGGTGTGAGCCACCGCACCCAGCCAGAATGATTTAATTTATGTAGGGTTTTTTTTTTTCCTATGTAGACATTTTTATCTTTTGGTAGGTTCTCTTTTATGGTTTTGGATTTTGTGATGTATTTGGAAAGATGTTTCCCAGTCTGAGATTGTTTTTTAAAAACTCCATATTTTGTTTGAGTCAGATACCTATTTGAACAACTGCCTTAAATTAATTGTGGAAAAAGGTATAACTCATTCCCTTCCTAGCAGCTCCTGGCCCAGGAGGCCAGCCTTCCTGGCCTGACTTACAGCAGGTATTCACCTTCCTTCCCAGATAAGTACACGCAGATGAATCATGCGCTGTTTTCTCTCAATGGGCGCACGGGGTACGTTCTGCAGCCTGAGAGCATGAGGACAGAGAAGTACGACCCAATGCCGCCTGAGTCCCAGAGGAAGATCCTGATGACTCTGACTGTCAAGGTAAAGCCAGCTCTCCTTCCTGCTCTGGTAGCCAGGTTGCCTTCCCTGGGGGTTGGGTCAGGGGAAACCTGGGGCTGGTGATGCCAATCATCTTGCTTAAACCATCAAAGATCACATAGTATTTTAGGGCCTTTCTGTATTACAGTGGACTCCAGGGTCATTTCAAGGGGGGACTACCCCAAACCCAGCTTGGCGACCTTCTCTTATTATTTGTGGGGGGTGAGGTGTGAATCAGTCTCTTTGAGGTCTCAGTGTGGTCAGCCTCTGCCGGAAAGAGAGAGAACTAAAAACACAGGAAATGGCCATTTGGTCTTTAATGGCCACCGAAAGGGCAGAGCTGATTACCCCCCTTGGCCAGTTTTTGGGTCAAAGCTTTCAAAAATTCATATGGCTTTCAGAGAATGTGTTGTTGCTTTGTAAGAATTTTTGGAAGGCAGATAAATGAATAAATTGTATTTCTAATGAGATTAAGGGGAAAAAATGATGTACATGTAACCAAAGGCCTTTATTTTATTTTATTATTTTTATTTTGTGGGTCGGGGTCTCTGTCACCCAGGCTGGAGCATGGTGACACTATCACGGTGCAGCCTCAACCTGCTAGACTCAGGCCATCCTTCTGCCTCAGCCTCTTGAGTAGCTGGGACTGCGGGTGTATGCCACCATGCCTGGCTAATTTTTTGACTTTTTGTAGAGACAAGGTCTCACTATGTTGCCCAGGCTGGTCTTGAACTCCTGGGCTCAAGCAACCCTTCTGCCTCAGCCTCCCAAAGCACTGGGATTACAGGTGTGAGCCACTGAACTGGGCCCTGTAATGCCATGCTGTCTCCTCAGCCTTTTCTGGGTGCTGGGAAATCCAGTGACCAAGCTCTCTGCCTTGGTGGGCATCCCCCTGGCCATGGGTGTGTGTGTTTATATGCACAGGTGAGATCCCCCCACCATTGAGTCAGATGACATGAGGCTGAAATCCAGCCCTGTCCTGACAAGTTGTGGGAATCCACTGCAACTCCCCACCCCCATTTCCTCATCCACAGAAGGACCCCGGGGATGGTGTCCACTGCAGAGCGTTGCTAGGACTTCTCCAGTAAATTACTTCTCAACAGCTTTCTGGGGAAATTAAGGCTGGTGTTGGACTCATACTATATGACTCTAGCACCCAAATGCAGCTCCATGCTAGACTGCCCATGTGGGGTGTGTTCAGCTCTTGCCAGGATGTCTTTGGGGGAGTTCAGCAGTTGCCTTTGGTATCCCAGGTTCTTGGTGCTCGCCATCTGCCCAAACCTGGACGGAGTATTGCTTGTCCCTTTGTGGAGGTGGAAATATGTGGAGCTGAGTATGACAACAACAAGTTTAAGACAACTGTTGTGAGTAAGTTGCCTTGGCCCTCTCTTATTTATTTATTTATTTATTTATTTTGAGTTGGGGGTCTCACTGTGTCACCCAGGCTGGAGGACAGTGGCACCATCATGGCTCACCTTGATCTCCAGGCTCCTGTGATCCTTCCGCCTCAGCCTCCTGAGTAGTTGGGAATACAGGTGCATGCTACCACACCTGGCTAATTTTTAAATTTTTTGTAATGATGAAGTCTTTCTTAGTTATTGATGCTAGTCTTGAACTCCTGTGCTCAAGTAATCCTCCTTCTTTTGCCTCCCAAAGTGCTGGGATTACAGGCATGAGCCACCACGCCTGGTTTCCTTTCTTCTTTTAAACTTCAAGCAAGTTAAATTATGTGCAGGGAAGCTCTTCTGGCACTTTTGTTGGCTGCATGGTTCAGCTTGGGAGAGGAAAATAAAGGGCCCCTTTATTAAATTGTTAGACTTGTACCCCGTCCTGGGTTTCTGTGCCTATAAGTCAAGTCAGGAGTCCCAGGCAAGGCTCCCTGTATTCTGCACCCTGACACTAGGTGGGTCCTCTCTGTACAAAGCCCAATCTGATTTAACTACTTAGTCAGAGGTTAAGAAGCACAGACACACACACAGAGGGCTAGCATACACGGCTGACCTGACCCAGAGGACTCAGCCTATCCTGGGGATCTTACCCATAGAGGGCAGGAAGGAAGGATGAGAGAAAAGCTTGCTCTTCCAGAAGAAGCCAAAAAAACCCCCATGAACTGTGGGTTTTTTTAAGGCACAGGATCACTACTTATGGAAAAAGATAGCCCAGTGACCAGCTCAGGCACTGATCAATTAATTGGTATTTATGGAGGGTGACGGGTTTGCTACTTACCTTGCTCTGTGAGGTTGGGTCCTCCTCTGATAATTCTAGAACACACTGCTGGTTCTTCCTCTTTGGACTGAGGGATGTGGCTCCCAAGCTCGCTTCTCCTTTAATCTCTTCCAAAACCCACCATTCTGCTCTGCAAACACCTCCTTGCCTTCTCCCTATCCCAGGAAGGTGAGGTGGGAGATGCACGAAGGGGGAGGTGGTCTTTCTCTGCTCACTGAGGGAACAGCCTGCAACAGCAGGATTGCTCAAGGGAGAGGGAGTGTGCAGATAATTTTTCAGATTTTCCTAGGTCTTGGCATAGATTCGTATTTATTTACATGGTTGCCAAGGGGTTTCAAAGTTGAAGGATGCAGAGACCTATCTACCAGAAGGAAGCAAGGCGAATGTGCCCTCTAATGAGCTTTGATCTCCTTCCAGATGATAATGGTCTCAGTCCTGTCTGGGCTCCGACACAGGAGAAGGTGACATTTGAGATTTATGACCCAAACCTGGCATTTCTGCGCTTTGTGGTTTACGAGGAAGATATGTTCAGTGACCCCAACTTTCTTGCTCATGCCACTTACCCAATTAAAGGAATCAAATCAGGTAAGAGCCCTTTTAATTAAGATGCTCAGTTTGGGCTAGCATCATTCTTTGGTTTGTGCTGCTGGCTTTAAAAAATATTTAAAAAGCATTTTTTTCCTGGTTTTGATTAAATCACCACAAAACTGACTGAGTGGCTTGGAGAACAAGTGTGTGCCCAGCCTGTCTTAGCATCCAGGGGGGAAGGAGTAAGAGGGAATGCTGTGTCCTTCAAAGGGGAATGTCTCCATGCAACATTGGATCATTAGTCAATGGTCAACCTGGCACCATAGTTTAATTTTTTTTTTTTTTTTTTTTTTTGAGTTGGAGTCTTACTCTGTCACCCAGATTGGAGTGCAGTGGCTGCTCCCGGTCACTGCAGCCTCGACCTGCTGGGCTCCGGCGATCCTTCCGCCTCAGCCTTCCGAGTAGCTGGAATTACAGGCGCGTGCTATCACGCCCGGCTGATTTTTGATTTATTGTAGAGATGAGGTCTTGCTGCCCAAGCGGGTCTCGAACCCGCGGGCTCAGGCAATCCACTCACCTCAGCCTTCCAAAGGCGTGGGATTACAGGCTGAGCCACTGAGCCCGGCTCATAGTTTAATTTCATTTGGAAATGGCGTAGGTGGTTTGCCTCTCTCCAGCCAGGGCTAAGTCTGATTTGATCTCCCTCCTGCTCCCTGACTGGCAACGTGACAGGGTAGGCAAAGGTGAGGCCTTTGGCATCTGGCGGGAGTTACAATCTTGGGTCCAACTCTCTGAAGCTTTCAGAATTCCCCTTCCTCTTTTATAAAACGGGGAGGGTTGATTTATCTTTGAATCATTAGGCTTTTCTTCCATGCTGAGCAAAACCAAAACCCCGTCATGGCTTGAGAAGAGCCATTTTACATTTGCCAAAGCCCAAACTGGGTCATGTGACCAGCTCTTAAGCATCAGGACACTGAGTCCAACTCAGTGAATCCCAGGTGACTGAGCCCCACCCACACGGCTGAGATAGACACCTCCAGGTGAGAGGATCTAGAACCCAAGAGCTTGGTGATGCTTCTGGAGTCATTTATCAATAACCATGGCTATCTGTAGCTTGTGGGTGTTTTCTCTAATTGACTTGGGTTTCTCTAATTGACAAATAGGCCCTCGCTGGATGTTCAATTTCCTTCCTCGCTCTTCTTAATAGTTCTGATGTGTGGGACATAAGATCGTAGATCCTTCTGAATACCTCAGGACTCTGTTCCTAAGGATTTTTCAAGAAAAAGAGATAATGGTCCTTTTAGTTACTTATATAAAAATACAGTCTTTTTTTCCGAGTTGAAGTCTCACTCTGTCACCCAGGCTGGAGTGCAGTGGGTGCACTCACAGCCACCCCAGCGTCGACCTGCTGGGCTCAGGCAATCCTTCCGCCTCAGCTTTCCAAGTAGCCGGAACTACAGGCATGTGCTACCACACCTGGCTCATTTTTTGATTTATTATAGAGATGAGGTCTCGCCAAGTTGCCCAGGCTGGTCTTGAACCCGTGGGCTCAGGCAATCCTCTCACCTCGGCCTCCCAAAGTGCTGGGATTACAGCACTTGAGCCATGGCGCCCGGCCTAAAAATAGTCTTTTGATATTGTTTGGAAACCTTGAACTCAATGAAGAGCTGAACTGGATTTTTTTTTTTTTTTTTTTTTGAAACTTGGAAGGTGCCAGACCTTCCTTGAACTTCTTCCTTTCTTAGTATCATAAATCTTACCATTTCTGCCACTGGGCAGTGATCCAACTTCTGAGCAGCAAGCATGCTGGGGGCTCCGGTTGGAAAATTCGGGCTCCTGGGCCCACCATGGGGTCTGATTCATCCCAGGAATCTGTATGTTTAGCTAGCTCCTCAGATGGCCTTGTATGTTTAGCTAGCTCCTCAGATGGCCGTCTTATCACTGAGGAAACAATCTCCCGAGCAAGGTTAGTAGCTGAAGCAAGAGTTTGGGAAAATGTTTAAACCGTCTGTTTTTGGATTTTTAGAACTTCAGAAATACTCATTTTCATAACTTACTCTAATAATTTTTTTTTTCTTTTTGAACTGGAGTCTTACTCTATCACATAGGCTGGAGTGCAGTTGCATGATCACGGCTCATAGCAGCCTTGACCTCCTGGGCTCAGGCAATCCTTCCGCCTCAACCTCCCAAGTAGCTGGGACTATAGATGTGTACCACCATGCCTGGCTAATTTTTTGATTTTTTATTTGTAGAGAAGAGGTCTCACTATGTTGCACAGGCTGGTCTCAAGCAGTCCTCCTGCTTCATCTTCCCAGAGTGTTGGGATTATAGGTGTGAGCTGCTGTGCCCAGCCACTTACACTAATAATACTGGGTACTCGTTTGTCTGAGGCCTTTGGCAATCCCCTTTGGTTAACTTGCCCACACTATAAACTATTTTAAAATCCAGTAGTGAGGCTGTGATTCTTCAATCTGCAGTTTGTTTCTTTTAGATTATCCTGATAAATGAGGTTTAGGAATGATACCACTTCTTCTGGTGCAGGAAGTATAGTTTTTGCTAAATCTTGATGCTGTGACAGACTTCTTTTTATGGCAACTGTCCTCCAACTCCTCACCAGTCTTCCCTGGACTTGTCCTGCACAGATGGGTGACTGTGCTGATACCCCCTGGCTACCCTGATATCCTCTTGAAGGATGCAGGAGGGCCGTGAGCCTTGTAACCCCTCCCAATGCGTTGGAGAGAGGTCAGAGTTGATGAAACCCCCTCACCTTACTGGCCATGGCCATCAGAGTGTGTCAGTTTATTTAGAGAATGAAGTGACTTCGCTTGGAGCTTTAAAAAAACAAAGAACAAAACCTCAAGGGTGATTGCAAATGTGATCCCACCCGCCCTAACTGTGAGACACTCTCAGCAGGGACCTTCTCGCTTCTTCCAGCTCCCAGCAGCGCCTGGCACATCCATATTCATGGGAAGAATGAAGTAAAATGCACAACTCCTTTGTGCACAAGGCACGGAGGGGCTTCTGAGCTGGAGAAATAAACTTTGCCCGTTGTCATTAGGGATGCACTTAAGCTTTTAAACCAGCTGGAGCTCAGGAAGGAAAGAAACAGCCTTTATTGTGTTGGGTACCTTCAACGCTTTCCCTTTTAATCCTCACAGTAATCCTGTGAAAGGGGTTTTATCCTCTCTGCTTTTAAAATCTGAGCACTTTGAGGCCTAGTGAAGTGAATTAACTTGCTCAAGGTCACACACTTGTAGGACCAGAGCTGGGTTTCAAACCCAGGAATTTCTGACTTCAAACCCTGTGTTCCTAGTTTATAGGCTGTCCTTAAGAGGCTTCCTTTGTTCTCTCTAGGTGCTAAAAGCCTGAGACAATGATCTTACTTGAAAAGATGTTTCTAGTTCCCTTTCCCCTGTGAAATGACCACCACCACCACCACCAACATATCTATCTTTTTGAAGCTGGGGAACACTTTTCAACCCTAATGCTATACATGAAGGGCTACCCAGTGTATAAAAGTGAGACTTGGGCAGTGAGAGGAGGTAATAAGAGCTGGAGACAGCTGGCCACGGGGTCAGAGATCGAGTCTCCAAATTCAGAGGCCCATGCCTGGCAGCAGACGGTACAACTTTGCTTGGAACCGAGCTATTGGAGTGCACACTACCCCAAATCCCATGGAGCATACAGCATTCCAGTTCATTCTAACAATTGAGCAACACTTAGACTTTTCCCCCAGTGTCCTCAGATCAGCTCATTAAAGATGCAATCGACTCAGATGCCCTGCCCTAGAAATCCCTAGTTAGAATCTGCAATGTAACAAGATCCACAGGTGATTTACATGAAAGCTGGGGTAGCACTGGGCTAGACTGCAAGAATTCTATGGATATCTATGTAGGTAAAAAACAAACCAGCAGACACCATCAAAAAACAATAGTATCACCTATAAGGAGGAAATACGTCAGAAAACTTCTCTACAGCAGTGTTCAATGAGAGCAATGGCCCTAGAATCCTACAGGGAAAAGAGAGAGTATAAAACTCTGAGGTTTTATACCTACTCAAACTGTCACTCAACTATAAAATTAAAGGATGGATGCTTTCAAACATGCACAGTTCAGGAATTACATGTTCCATGAGCTCATTTTGAAGAAAACAAAAGAGGACAAATTTAGCCAACCAGAACAGAAGTTCCATAAAAGACGGTGAGCATTCAGCCACTAAAAAAAATATAAATCTATGAATTTCATTGTATGTAAATTTTGTATCAAAAGAGGAACACTGTAAACTAATATTGAGCTCTGTTTAGTGAGATGCATGCTGGGTAAAGTATAAGGAAAAGTGTATTGATGTCTCCATCTTACTGTGAATTACATATACAAATAAGATGAATTGATGTGTGAATAAATATGTGATAAAACAGTACAATTGGCCCTCTGTATCCATGGGTTTCGTATCCATGGATTCAACCAACCTCAGATCAAAAATATTTTTTTAAAAATTGTATCTGTACTGAATATATAGACTTTTTTTCTTATTTCCTAAACAATACAATGTAACAACTATTTACATAGCACTTAAATTGTCTTAGATATTAATGTCTACAGGAAGATGTATATAGGTTATATGCAGATACTACGTCATTTATATCAGGAACTTGAACATCCAAAGATTCTGGTATCAGGGGAGATCTGAAACCAATCCTCCATGGATACTGAGAGCGACTGTATAGAAAAAAGTTGATGGTAGAATCCAGATGCTTGATGTAGGTAATTTTTTTTTTTTTTTGAGTCAGAGTATCACTCTGCCACCCAGGCTAGAGTGCAGTGGCACGATCATGGCTTATTGCAACCTCAACTTCCTAGGGCTTAGGCAATCCTTCTGCCTCACCCTCCCAACTAGCTGGGACTACAGGCACACACCACCACACCTGGCTAGCTAATTTTTGTATTTTTGATAGAGACAAATCTCATTATGTTGCCCAGACTGGTCTTGTAACATTCTTTTAGCTTTGCTGTATGTTTAAAAATTTTTCTATTGAAACATCAGACAAATATAACTAAACCTCCCTTGGTGTGATAATTATTGATACAAAACGGAATACAAATATTACACACCATGTTCACATAGACACAATAATATGCCGTAACCCAAATTAGAGGAAAAAGGAGAGAGAGTACGGGGTTGTGTGAGCATGCCACTTTCTTCATCATAAGCAGTGAAAAGCGAGAGATTCAACAGATACTGTTTAAAGGTGATAAATGAACTGATGGCCTAAAATGATCTCTGAGAGAAATAAGCTAAAACCTGAATGGTGGGAGGCCCAGAGGACATAGTGGAGATGTCCTAATTTGGGTATTGTTTGTCTTGGACAAGCAGTAGATACACCTGCAAGACAATCTAGGGTCATGGAGATGTTCTCTAAGATACAACATTAGATGGAAAGGCTAAGGTGCTGTTATCTGTGCTTTAAAAGAAACTCAAACATAAGCATAGACAACCTTGGGAATGATATTGTTAACAATGGTTCCTTTTAGGATAGAGAGCAGGATGATGTAGAGTGAGAGTTCTGTTTTTACTGTGTATTCTTTTATACCACTTAATTAAAACAAGCAAGCAAACCAGCCTTTGGGATGTGCTGCCTTAAGCATGACTGACTTGAGGAGGAAGGAAGATGCAGACTCACCCCACCCTCCTTCCACCCCAAATAAAAAGAAACATTTAAATGGCTGTCAAACACAGGCTCTAGTTGTAAATAGGGAATGGCTTTCAGAGGAGGAAGATCAATACTGCTATGAACTACCAAGGGACAGGAAGATTTCCTCCCATTGGAAATCTTTAAAGATAAAATACACTCCCTGGTCCTGTGCTTTGTAAAGGCCTAAGTGGGGGAAATAGATGTGAGGATTCACTACACTTTTGAGTCTTTTGTCCTCATGAGTATTTAGGGAATTGAACCACAGCTGCAATCACTTGAAATTCAATGTGGAATTTTCTGTGCGTTTTAATTTTTTCTGAGTGAATCATTTTTATTTCTAAATGGTAGATATTTTTTAACCTTGCTTCCCTGTATGGACCTGTCAGTCAAGGTTGCTAACCTCTGCCCCTAACCATCAGGGTGGGACCTCTGGCTTCCAGAGAGTCAGACCCCAGCATGGGGTGCTGACTTCTCTACTCACTGAACTGGTATATGACCTTTGGGTACCTCTTCACCCCAAATCTAAGGTCTGACATTAATTACCTGCCTTTGCATTTTCTCCCCCATTTTGCTGCAGGATTTAGATCTGTTCCTCTGAAGAATGGGTACAGTGAGGACATCGAGCTGGCTTCCCTCCTGGTTTTCTGTGAGATGCGACCAGTCCTGGTGAGTGGAGAAATGCCCACCAGGGTATTTCTGAGCTCTGAGCTCTGCTTGCTGGTGGGGTAGAAATGGCCTGTGAATTCAGTTGACTGGTGGACTTAAACCCATTGACAGTTTTCTAGCCCAAGCATGAGACATCATAAAAGAATTCCTTTTTGCTAATTTCCCAGAGGTCTTGGATGTTTTTCTCAGCATCTTCTCTTGGAGAGTGTTGTGTGAAACTGTGGTTCTGGAACCCAGTGGATAGATGTGGACTTGGTCAGTGCTACCAGATACCCCATCTTGTTTTTTATTTTTCTTTTTCCAGTAGAGAAATCAGTCTATTATTTGGCTATAAGAACTAAATGTTGAGATTTGGAAGTTGTGAGTAAGCAACAAAAAAAGGGTGAATCAAAAATCAGCCGGGTGTGGTAACACATGCCTGTAATTCTGGCTACTTGCAAGGCTGAGGCGGAAGGATCGCCGGAACCCAGCAGGTTGAGGCTGCGGTGGCCGGAAGCGGCCACTGCACTCCAGTCTGGGCGACAGAGTGAGACTCCAACTCAAAAAAAAAAAAAACAAAACCAAAAAAAACCAAACTATGTGTTTTGATCTGATTGTTTAAAATAGGTTATTTCAGAGTAGAAGAAAACATTAGAATGAATATATTTTGAAAATATATTAATTACTGTAGACATAAAGAGTATTATTGAAAATAAAGCTGATGTGAATTTGATACAAATGTAGTATATTTGAAATGGAAAGTAAAAATATAAAGCACCCAGATAGAATTATGCAATTGGCATGGGTAAAATTTTTTTGCTAGGAAATTCTTTTAATGACAAATTCACCTCATTGTTTGAAGAAAGCAGGCACAAATCCTTTTATGCCACAGCAAAATTACTGAAGGTTTTAAGTAAATTAAAATGTGATAAATCATTTTGTATTAACAATTAAGTAGGGGTTTATTAGTTAAAGTATATCTGTGTGAATCTTTTCCACATTGTAAACACTTTTACATAATACATTACATTCTAAATAAACTCTTAGGGCTTCTGTAAAGTAAAGCTGAATGGTATCGGTAGCTGCTAAAATAGAAAATGAATCATAACTGTTAATATACTGAAAAAAAAAAAAAAAAAGAAAGGATGAAGGTCCTTGCAAGTTTCTCTTAGTTGCTCTTCAGCAGAGCCAGGCCAGAAAATCCTCTTCTAGATAAGTTCATCCTTTCTGGATGCTTTTTCCTGCCCATGGGACTTTGATAATCCCTTCAAAGTCTTGAAGAGCTTCCCATAAGGGTCATCTTGGTCTGGCCCTGGGGAAGGAAGTGCATGGACCCCTGACTTCCCACTGTGAGCAGTATTCCTTTTGTGACTCTTTCTACCTTGGTCCCTTTCATTTTCCAAGTGAAGATACTTGGTTAACCACTTTGATGGAGCAGTTTGGATAGACTTGACAGAAAGGTCTCTGTCTTGAACTAGATTAAAAAATGCAATAAGGCTGCTCAGGATGAAAGGTTAAGAATAGAACCACGCAGCCGGGCTCGGTGGCTCAGCCTGTAATCCCGCGCCTTTGGGAGGCTGAGGTGAGTGGATTGCCTGAGCCCGTGGGTTCGAGACCCGCCTGGGCAGTGAGACCTCATCACTACAATAAATAAAAAAATCAACCGGGCGTGGGAGCGCATGCCTGTAATTCCGGCTACTCGGAAGGCTGAGGTGGAAGGATCGCCGGAGCCTGGCAGGTCGGGGCTGCGGTGGCCGGGAGCGGCCACTGCACTCCAGTCTGGGCGACAGAGTGAGACTCCAACTCAAAAAAAAAAAAAAAAAAAGAATAGAACCATGCTGTGGATCACCAGATTCGGGCTTGACGGTAGGTGACCTGGGTATTCATATTATGCTGGAACTTCAGAATCTTCATGACAGCCTCTCACACAGGCTCAAACCCATGTGGCCTGACCTATAGTCAATAGTCTTTCAAGAGCCTTCCATTCCCCCACCACTGAACCACAAAACTGGGCATGGACTGGGTGAGTGTCTTGGACACTCTACTTCTCTCTGGCTAATCTGAAAAAAAAAAAGATTGTGGTTCTGCACCCCAGTGGGTTGATGTGATGTGGTCAGTGCCTCTATCTTGTTTTCTCATCCCGGTTGTTTTCCTGGTAGAGAAATCCGAGTCTGTAATTTGGCTCTAAGAACTAAACAGTGATATTTGGAAGTTGCCTGTTTGGCAACTTCCATAATATAGCTAAGGATCTTTAAAGGGGGAAGGGAAATGGCAGACATAGGGACATCATTTAACAGCCATAGCAATAGTCTATATAGTAAAAATTCATGAACTTGACTCAGGAGAGAACATTAGGTTTTTCTGCATAGCTGTTTCCCTATGTTCAATTTTTGCAACTTTGGTAGTTTTCCACTCCACAGCATTTTAGAAGCATCGAGATGAAAGAGGGTGGAAAAGTAAGGAAAGACAGAAAGCAGTAAAAACAGAGAGGCTTAAAATACACAGTAGTTAGGGGCTAAATAACCTGACACAGCCATCACTTTTTGTTGGTATAAAATAAACTCATGATGACAAAATTCTGTCTTTTTTAAAAGCATAAGAGGATGGAAAATGGAAAGTTTCTCCATTTTGAAACAAATTTTAAATGTTAGACTATAAAATAAATGTAATATTTATATGAAAGTTATCATTTTGTGTCTTAAATTACGGACCAAAAAAACTGTGATTGAAATGCTTGGTCCTGAACGTTTGTATAAATTCCTCCCTTTGCCAGGGTTACTAAGGTGCCTACACATCTTTATTGGAAACGCCTAAGTCCCCCCTTTCAGAATGTAATTATGTATTTGTCAATTTGTCATTAGGAAGACTGAGGTATGTAATACATCCATTTAAAGATCTTCTCTTTTTTTTGAGTTGGAGTCTCACTCTGTCACCCAGACTGGAGTGCAGTGAGCAGGAGGGCCGCTGCAGCCTTGACCTGCTGGGCTTTGGAGATCCTTCCGCCTCAGCCTTCCAAGTAGCTGGAATTATAGGCACGCGCTACCACGCCCGGCTCGTTTTTGATTTATTGTAGAGATGAGGTCTCACCAAGTTGCCCAGGTGGGTCTCGAACCCACGGGCTCAGGCAATCCACTCACTCGGCCTCCCAAAGCGCTGGGATTACAGGCTGAGCCACCGAGCCCGGCCATTAAAAGATATTCTAAGCCAGAATTAATTATTTTAAGCACATAGTTAAACACACAAATCCACAGCCCAGATTGTGGAGAGTACAGAGCATCGTTTTAATAATGAGAGGGAGAGGGGAGTAGAGAGGGTTAGTATTTGGTCTGTTTGCTTCCTTCTTTTCCTTGGCATATGCATTCTTTATTTAAGTATACTCATACACATTCATATATACATGTATGATTTTTTCTTAACTTTAGCACTGTCAACCTTTGGGACTAAGTCATTGTTGTGGGAACTGTCCTAAGTATTGTAGGATGTTGAGTAGCATCACTGCCCTTGACCCTTGATTAGATGCCAGTTGTATCCCTCCACCCCCATAATAATTCAGACTATTCTCAGACATTGTCAAATGTCCCCTGGGTGGCAAAATCACCCTTGGCTGAGAACCACTGTTTTAAACTGATATTATAAGTACTTTTTATACTATCACCCAATCTTCACTAGTATTTAAATAACTGTTAGATTCTTCCACAAGTAGACTGACCATACAGTAATCAGTCCCTTAAGCAGAGCATTTAGATGGAATACACTTACATATAAGAGCACCATGCACATCTTTAGTTGGGTACCCTTTTCCCCCTTCAAGTCAGAAGTATTTCCTTAGTATCAATACTCAGATATGGAGTTAGTGGGATCAATTACTTGAGAAGAATGGTAACAGCGTAGAACCTGGGCCTCCAGCAAGAGCTCTAAACAAGCAAGCTTGAAGACCCTTTGCTTAGTTAAGCTTATCTCTCTCCCTAGCCCATGGAAGTTTTTGGGATTTGTCCATCTATTGCCCAGGGAAAGGGAATCAGCACTTCCTCTCCGTGTACATAAAGCCCATTTGTAGACATTTCACAGAAGAATCAAGCTATAGAAACAGTTTCAGATAGCAGTAGGGCAACATTCATCTAGGCTTTGCTCTGCAAAGCTGTTGTCAACAACCCAGCAACATTATAAATAATTTAAATGATTAGATATCACCGGCAGCAGAGCTTGGTATATTTGAAAGAAAATTGTGTTGATGCAAATTTGACTTCCTTGATGAGGGAAGCTTAACGTGCTGGCTGCTGTCGGGGATGCCACTGTCTAGTGGGGAGTGAGAGGTGGGGAGGGTGCCTTATGGGGTTCTGAATGGAAACTCAACTCTCACAAATCTGCTTCCTGAAAGTTTTAGTGGAATGGTTGTCTGAGTATGTGCAAATTTCATTTCAGCTGTTGGCTCTCGAGATTTCATTTAATTCCACATCTGTCACCTGGTTCTGTGCCACTCACAGGTGCTGCTTGGCATTTCTGTCCACACTGCGATGAGGAGTCTCTCTTGGAAGCCAAGTTGAATTTCATTTGGTAGACCTGGACTTTCTTCTTGATGCCCAGGGTCAAACCTTGTTTTATTTATCACCATATCCTCTGGAATCCAGGGAGAGACTCTGGTAAACAGCCTCAAGAAAGATTTGTCTGAGTAAATGATTGATCCAGCAAGGGCTGAGATGGAGTTTACTCATAAAACATTTGCTGAGATAGAGTTTAAAGCCCCAGAAAACTGTCAATAAATACTTTAAACACCTTCTGAAGAAGCCATTTACATGTCACAATTACTTTATCAATTCTCAGTTCTTTACTCTGTTAGCTGTATATATAGTTTATAAAGAGTATTTTTAGCACCATTTTATTGCCTACTATATTTTATTAAGAAGTAGGGAAAAAAAGGAAGGGAGTTGAAAAAGTCTCCACAGACTGTATATAATCACTGTTAGCATCTTGGTATATTTCCTTTGCCTTGTGATTTTTTGCATATGATATTTCTGTAGTTG